TGCAACTATCTAGCCAATTTGCCACCCATCTGACTATGTAGGCATCAGTGCCTCAGTTGCCTAATTTTTTTATGAGAATGGGGTAAGAAACAGTGTCAAAGGCCTTCTTGAAGTCCAGATAGATGACATCCACCTCAATGCCTGCATCCAAGGACTTGGTGACCTGGTCATAAAAGGGAACCAAGTTAGGCAGGATCTGCCTACAGTGAACCCATGTTGGTTGCCCCTGAGCATTACCTCCCCTGCTGGTCCCCTGCAGATATGTTACTTGATAATTTTCTCAAAGGTCTTCCCAAGGACCAAGGTAAGACTGACTGGCCTATAATTGCCAGGGTCCTCTTTTCTCCCCTTCTTGTAAATGTGGACCACACTGGCCCTTTTCCAATCCTCTGGTACCTGGCCAGAGTCTCACAAGTGCTCATAAAGCTGTGCCAGGGGCCCTGCTATGACCCCCACCAATTCCTTCAGCACCCTAAGGTGAAGAGCATCTGGACATGTTGAGCCCCTCCAAAAGTTCCCTAACTAGGTTGTCCCTGACTCTAGGCATGGTGGTGCCTCCCCTGGGTCTGTCCATGATCCTAGTGGGGGAAATGTCCTGGTCCCTGTTCAGGAATATGGAGGCAAAGATTTCGTTAAAGAGGTAAGCTTTTTTGTTTGCTATAATCACCAGATTGTCAGGCCTGTCCCGTAGGGGCCCCATGTTACCCGGTGCCCCCCCTCTTACTCCCTATGTATTTGAAAAAGGACTTTTTGTTATCCCTAATTCTGGTCAATAGCACTAGGTCCTTCTCTGCCTTGGCCTTCCTAACAGCCTCCCTGCAGTCATGAGCAACGGAGGTATAATCCTCCTTGGTGATAGCCCTTTGCTTCCACTGTTTGTATGCCTCCTTTTTTGCTCTCAGGCCCTCCTGGATGCCTTTGCCGAGCTATGGGGGCTTTAGAGCACTCATGCCCCCCTTGGTATGCATTGGGACTGACTCCTTTTGAGCTTGGAGGATTGTCTTCTTGAGGAACAACTACCCGTCTTGGACTCGCATCTCATTGAAGCTCTGAGACCCCAGCGCCTCTTCTACTAATCTTAGCTCATTGAAGTTGGCCCTCCTGAAGTCAAGGACTTTTGCCTTACTGCTTGCTTTCACTACCCTGCACTGGATAGTAAATTCCAGCAGGCAATAATCACTGTCACCTAGGTGGTCGAGTACCCACAGACCCCTCACCAGGTTGTCGCCTGTGGCAAGGACCAAGTCCAGCAAGGCATTTCCCCTGGTGGGACTATGCACCTCCTGGGTTAGGTGGAGGTTCTGTATCCCATCTAGGAACCTACATGAGCGCTCGGACCTGGCTGACTGCTCTTCCCAGCAGATGTCTGGGTAGTTTAGGTCACCCATGACAACCACATCCCTTGACTTTACAGCAGGGTGGGCAAAATGCGGCCTGGGGGCCGGATGCGGCCTGCCAGGCCATTCTATGTAATCCACGGGACCCCTAAAAAGTTTAGAAAATTAATATTTATCTGCCCTGGGCTGCTCGTCATGTGGCCCTCGATGGTTTGCCAAAACTCAGTAAGCAACCCTCTGCCCAAAATAATTGCTCACCCCTGCTTTACACAGTCTCCATGAGCTGACCTGAGAATTCCAGGTCCAGCTCATCTCCGTGGTGAGGCAGTCTGTAGTAGATGCCCACTATCATGTCACTTTCCCCACAGCCCCCTTGTATTTTTACCCAGAGCGCCTCAGTTTTCCCTTCCTCTAACCCCAGTCTGATCATCAAGGATTGCTCTTTGATGTAGAGTGGTACACCCCCCCCCCACCTTTTTTCCCTGGTGTGTCTTGCCTGTACAGCCTGTAGCCCTCTATGCCCACTGCCCAGTCATGGGTAGTATCCCACCAGGTCTCTGTGAGCCCCACTAGGTCTGGGTTTTTGCTAGCTAGCAGGAGGGCAAGATCCTCCTGCTTTCTTCCCATGCTTCGAGCATTTGTGTAGAGGCATTTGAGGCCTCCTGTAGGTGCACATACTGCTCCCTTGTTCCTAAGTCTGCCCTGGTCCTGTCACTTACGTGGGTACTACCTGCACACGTCACCTGGCTTGACGGCAAAGTGTCCTTATGTTCCTCTGTGTCCCTGTCCCCCGGCAAACCTAGTTTAAAGCTTTCCATACGAGATCAGCCAGCCTGGAAGAAAAAACACGCTTACTTTTCAGGGACAGATGAAACCCATACCGCCCAAGCATGTTCTTTGTGCAGAAATGTGGGTCGTGGTCCAAGAACCCAAGGCCCACCTGGTAACACCAGCTCTGAAGCCGCTGGTTGACCTCACCGATGCATGCCTCGTGGTGCCATCCACATCTGCTCACTGGAAGAATAGAAGAGAAAACCACCTGTGCCCATAGAGCCTTGTAGTCTCTCATGAAGCAGTTCAGGCTGCCCCTGGCCATGTCATTCGTTCCCACATGGATGAGGACCATGGGATATTGATCAGAGGGTCAGATGAGGTCCAGGATCATCTCCGTGACATCCTGAATCCGAACTCCAGGCAGGCAACAAACCTCATGTGCCATGGGATTAGGGCAACAGACAGGCCCCTCCGTTTCTCTCCGGATGGAGTTGCCGATGACGACCCGGCGTCACTTCCTCTTGGTGTTCCGGCATCACTTAGTCTGTGCTGTGCATGGCGTGGCATCGCCTCCTCTGGAGGCATCCACTCCTACCTCCTCTTCCACAGGTGCCAGGGCCTCCAAACTTCCCCAGCTGTACCTGGGGAGCTGACACTGTGGTAGCGTGAGTAGCTCTGGCTCTGGAGGTGACTGTCTGCCATACTGCTGCAGCAGGTCTCTCCTGGAGGGCTTCTCCATTAGGTTTCTGACCCTGCAGAGAACGAAAGTACCCGTCAATTTCGTCCTCGGCAGCCCTGATCCCCTGCAGCCTGCTGACCTCAGCTTGGAGCTCCCTTACCTGCTTCTCCAAGGTCCAAAGGTGAATACAAGAGGGACAGGTGAGGGGACTCCCATTCCCTTCTCCTGCCCCCCCCCCGGCTACAGTGTCCCTGCCAGGCTGCCCCCACAGATGGGGGCAGGGTGCCGCCGCCCTCCCACAGGCCCCATCAGGGTGGAGGCCTCAGAAAAGCCCCAGGTATGCAGCACCACTGGGGCAGGGTCTCTAGCAGCAGCGTGCTGTGTCCTCATCATGTCCATAGAGCTATGAGTCCTCCTCTTTCCCCTGCCAAAGTCTCTGACCTGGCTCCTCCTGCATGCCTGCCTTGCGCGAACACTGGTGCAAATGCTGGCATGCCCTTGCAGAGTATGCCTGTTTGCATACAGTTTGGGAGTGTGGTTCCCTGCTGCTCTTTGCTAAATGGGATCTAGGGGCTTTCTCTCTAGATCTGCTGCAGCAGTGCCCACCCTTCTGCCCTGCTTACCTTTGAGCTGCTGTTGCTGCTTCTGCTGCTGCCGCCGCTGCTGGTCTTGGGTGGGTGTGTCGAGGGCACGTGCACTTGCAGCACACGTGTGCCCACTCCTGCTCCCAACTACTGCTCCCAGTCCCAACTACAGAATTAGGGACGCTATCATCTTTCTAATTTACTGACTTGCTTTGTATAGCCTGTAAAGGAATTGTCTCCTCATTTCCAGAATAGTTAGCCATATGCCACTGCATATGATTTCAATCTGAAAGAAGCTACCAAGAAGAGAGTGAGCAGGCTCAAGCTAGGAATCCCTCTGTAGCTTACCCTGTCTCTTCCAACAGAATAGTTTTTCATGGAATTATTTTTTTGTGTGTGTAAAGTAGCTGAAGTTTTCTATAGCTAAAACAGTATTCCTAAAATATGAAAATACATTATGTTACTGCCTCATCAAATCAGTTGTCCATAAATGAATGGTAAAAACTGGTCATTTCATTAACAATGGTACTACTAGGACCCTATTCCACTCTGTTACGCTTGTGTAAATTGAGAGTTACTGTTGAATTCAGGCAGACAAGGTTCTTTGGGTAAAGGCAATATCTTTTTTAGACCAATTAAATAGTTGGAAAAATTGTTGAATTCAGGGCACTTACTCTGGTGAGTAAGGAAATAATTGGCCTATGGCATGGAAATGAGCCAGAGTGACTTCTCTGAGGAAAATTAGGGAGCCAATACTATTAGTTTCATGCTTGTGATACTTCTCTTTGCCTTCACTTCAGCCACATTATTCTGCTTCCTTTATCTTCTGTTATGGCAGACATTCTAGTGATGGAAGCATTTCTGTATATGCAAATACAATTGGTACACTTTTTCCTATAGGACTGGGTTCTTCTGTCCATTGCCTAGACTCTAAAAGCTATTTTTTTAAAGTTGTATGTTGAATACAAACAAGAAACATATGCTTAATTATAACTCTGATCCTGTTTTTTTGTCCTTGTAGCTGCTTATGAAAAGAAGTATCTCCCAGGTAAATGTTTACATTCCTTTGCTTGAAATTTATGAGCAGTTTGAAGATGGTTTCCAGATATTATTTAATAGCTCACTTTTCTCTCAGCTTACACTTTAGTTTTCCTGGTTATGCTGTTTCTATAAGCATCTCTTGTATAATGTGCATAACTATCACAACAGCTTATGTTCTCTCATTAAGCTATATGCATTTTCTCAAACAGCAGCAAAGCTTTATGACTTAAATTTGTACTTCACAAGGCAGGAGGGTTGGTAGAGGTACTATACCAGCTATGACACCTCTCTCTTAGCACAGAATATTCTAAGACATGATCCATATTCTATAGCTATCTAAACTAAATTATACATTTGCTTGCAAAATAGGTCATTGTTGAGCTATGAAGCCTGTGAAATTGTGTCTGATGAAACTGACTCCTGAAGATCTACTGCCTCATGTCTATAAATTGTGTGTGCAAAATACTAACCCACCATAACCTGGGGCCATTTACTGTGCTGTTGTAACAAGCTAGCTTAGGTTTACTCTGATTTTATACCTGTTGAGCAAACAGAATTTTGGTGTCTTAAAGTGTTTTAAAATGAGAATTTATTTTCTCCCTTTACATCTGCATGTTTGTTACCACTCTGTATAATACAGGAGTTCTTTGTTGAGTGTCAGTACAAGTGTGCTTCTAATGTACACCTAGCTTTAAATGTATTTGGATTGATTCATGATATAAAAAGAATGCTCTGAAACAATTGGCATTTCTATTAAATGAATACTGTTACTACCAAGTATATAGGTTGGGCTGCTTATTTCACTGAGGCCAAACAGGTTACAACTAACCATAATCAACCATAATATAAATGTAACAACTTGTTAAAGGCAGACAAAGTTCTTTGGGTAAATGTAATATATTTTATTAGACAAATTAAATTTAAATAGTTGGAAAAATTGTACTTTGCAAGCTTTTGGGCACAGACACCCTTCTTCAGGCATATCAAGAGTCTGCTGGTGAATTGTGGGTTTGATGGTGCAGTTCTTGAGGAATTCTTCTTCCAGGTGGGCCATGAAAAAGTTGACATATTGTGGGGCTATTTTGGTGCCCGTAGCTGTGCCCATGGTCTGGAGGAAGTGTTGGTTGTTAAAACAAGTTGTGTGTGAGGACAAAGTGTATACATTGGGTAATATCTTTAACACTCAAAGAATTCCTCAAGAACTGCACCATCAAACCCATGCTATATCTAAGATATATAGATGACATCATCATTTGGACCAAAAACCTTCAGTCTCTGAGTGATTTCCATCACAAATTTAGTAACCATCCCCCCTCCAGCAGACTCTCTCTTGAATACTCCAGCACCAGCATTTCCTTTTGAGACAGTATGATCAATATTCAGAATGGTAAAATACAAACCACCATATACAAGAAACCCAGGGATCAATATACATATCTACAAAGCACCATCAATGACCCTAAACACACCAAGAGAGCTGTAATGTACAGTCAAGCCCTCTGATACCACCAAGTTTGCGCTGAGGAGAATACCCATGATTGTCATCTCACAAATCTCAAAAGGGCTTTCAGCCAACAAAGACACTTCTCCAGAGAGATCGGTTGTACTTTTGAAAGAGCCACCCAGATACCATATGAAGAATTACTGCATTACAAAAAGAATATCCCTATGAATTGCACATCATTAGTGATGACATACCATCCTTCCCTGGAATCTATATGGAAAGGTCTCAAACAGTTGCAACCCATACTAGGAGAAGACCCAGTTCTTAAAGAGATCTTTCTAGAACCACCCGTCCTAGACTTTAAACAAGCACCAAACCTCACTAACCTCATCACCAGAAGCAAACTTCCTATGGCCCAAAGCACACCAAATGGATCCAGACCATGCCAGGATAAGAAATGTAAAACCCGCCAACACATAACCACCACCCCCACAATAACTACAACACACAACAGAACTATAAACATTCCTTGATATTATACCTGCACCTCCAGAAATGTAATACATCTCATCCAGTGCACTAAGTGCCTTGATGGAAAATATGTAGGAGAAACCAAACAACAGCTGCACACCAGAATGAACGCACAATGAAAATCATATCAAAGACACACATACCCAACTACCTGTGGGTGCAGACTTCTCACAAGACAATGATTCTCTCTCCAATCTCTCAGTTCTAATCCTCAAAGGGAATTTACAAAACATCTTTCACAGATGAGCCTACAAACTTCACTTCATAAATCTACTGGATGCAAAAAATCATGGGCCAAATATAGAAGTTGGATTTATAGCACATTATAACCTGCCTGACATCTGATAACCCCAGGTAACTTGTCTGCAATGTAGAAGCTACATTCTATCACTAGTTCAACATTCCCCATTTCCCCCCTCGTTTCCTGTCTCTCACTATTGTCTTCCACCCCTCTGATCCTCACTGCCAGGTATTTGCATTTCATAGACCTGCATTTTGCATTTGGGCTTCTATTCTACTCAGAAAAGCTCACAGAGTCTCGATATTCCTGAAGAAGGTTGTTTGTGCCTGAAAGCTTGCAAAGAATATTTTTTTCCAACTGTTTATTTGGATTAATATAAGATATATCACATTTACCCAAAGAAACTTGTCCGCGTATGTCCTTAGACCAACACAACTACCAACAACCCTAACAACTTGCTGAACATATTTTAAAATGTAAATATCCAAAAGCATTCATTTCCTAAATCCAAAGGATGGAAGTTAACTGCTACTTCCTCTCACTGAAAGTTCTAATAAGATGATTTATGCAGGTTGCCACAGAGAGCCCTCCAAGGAGATGCCACTGGAGCCTTATCCAGTCTCTGAGAAGTCCCTTGAAGTCAGCCCAGGCTTGGCTTTTAGAACAAGGAGGGGAGCCTGAGCTCCTTCCCACTCTGAGATCCCAGTCTTGCTATCCATCACCTTCCCTGGTTTTCTGTGCTGTGATTCAAGAGGCTAGCATCCAGGTCTACTCCTGAGATGCTACTTCACCTCCTTATAGTGTGACCCAGTGCACCCCACTGTTCCAAGCAGCACAGCAGACAGTCTCTTCAGTCAGAGCATTTACTGGGGCAAATGCCAGCTGTCAGAAGTTCAGTGTCCTTTCCAAAGCAGTCCCTCTGCCCCCAATCCAGCCTGCACAATCCTGAGTTACTCCCCAAAGATACTCAACTGTTCCCTTTAGTCTCTCCAACTCCCCAAAGACTCTTCTGGCCCTAGACCTGCCAGACTGCATTATCCAGCCTGCTCTGCCTTCTGTCATGTTTATCTTCCCTACCCTCCTGGGTGTTGGCTATCTCACCTGTGTTGATAGGCCAGCACAGCCATTCACAATTCACAGCTGTAAATACTAAAGAGCCATCTGTCTTGAGCAGCGATTCCCAATCTGTGGTATGTGTACCACTAGTGGTACTCAGACAACCTGTCAGTGGTATGCATTATCAGATTTGTTACAACTACTTTATATGACAAAAAATTGCTGGTGGTACATAAGGTATCATTTTACATTGGTGGTGTACAATCCATGAGAGTTCGGGAACCACTGGTCTAGGGGCCAGCCTTGGCACTTTACCCCTCCTTTTCTGCACAGACTAAGTAGGTGACCTGAAAATATAACAACAGTGTGACACAGTTAACAGAAATATCAGAAAAAACTAGTAGTCACACTGGTATTTCTGGGAGGAATGGACATTTTATGTATGAATTTAGCCAGCAACTTAAATATACCTGGTATAGTAACTATTTTCACATGTCCTCTGTGGGGATTTTAATCAAAGACAAATTGTCCTCTTGCGTATTTGTGAAACTGAAGCAACTTCCATTGTTTTGAATGAATTTATTCTGTATTTACACTGATCTGAAACCATAATACAGCCTATTAGATCTGTGTGATCATGATTCAGCCATATCTCCAAAAACCCCAAGTGAATTGGTCTGATTGGAGATAGGACAAAACTCCCTTGAGGGAAGGCCTTACTTGCTTCTTTTGGGGGCCACCTAAACTCTGGAATAGGCTTGGAAGGGGATAAAAGGGAAAGAATGAGACTAAAGTTTGCAACAGCTCATTCTGTTTCCATATAGCAGGGGGTGTCAAAGATATGGGCTGGATGGTAGCCCTGTCATCTGGCCCACAGTGCTGCCTGTGGTTCTTGGACTGAATCCGCATGCTACATGCAGCACATGCTGGCCCTATGCACCACATGGGATGTGTGGAGCCCGCCTGGTGCACGCTATGTGCGCAAATCAGTCCCGTGCCCACAGGGCCAAATGAGTTTGATACTCCTGCCCTACAGTATTCACGAGACACAAGTTACAGTCCAGTGCTCTGACTGTTGCATTTTCCATTTACCAAGAAAGGCACAAAATCCGGTGCTTTCATTTTTTTATTATTTTTTTTTTACATCTTACATAAAAAGTAGATTTCTTGGTAGTGAGCACCAACATCACGTCAACAATATGGGTTGAGTTCACTGATAAATTCAAAGATACAGGTTTCCCAAGAAATTTATTTCCCAAAGACAGGCCACAAAAAAACCATAAATCAAATAGCCAGTCTTCCACCATGTTAGTTTATCTCTGGGATAATGAAAACGTGGCTGGAAAATACTTCGGCCAAAGGGAATGTTCACTATTTTAAGAAAAGGTTTGATTTTTTCCCGGCATAGATTATGCCTTTTGATTTCAAAATACTGACTTGTTTAGAGAACTTCAGAAAATTGTATTCAGAATTTGTATGTGAAACATTCATTATTAGGATTTTGTGAAGCAATTAAATGGTAAAATTTAAGGCAAAGATTGGGCTTATAAGTCACCTACGTACCCATGTGACGTAGCCTCCACCCCCCTTCTTTCTCTTTCCTCTCTTTCTTCTCCTTTTTCCTTTTATCTTCTATTCTCTAGTCTCCCTCCCTGTTTCTTTCCCATTTCTTTTCTCTCTTCTCCCCCTCCCCACCGGATGCTGCTGTCTATGCCCACAGAGGACGAACAACAAATGGTAATAAAAACTACAACTAAAGCAAAAAGTTAATGAGAGATAAGGAAGACGACAACAGTTTAGGAATTCTTTTAAATAATCCCAGTCCTGTCTATGCCATTGAACATGTGGTATAGGTATGCAGTTCATTTAATACCTGCACTGTAATAAATTTGCCAATTACATAATTCATTTATCTATTAGTATAAAAATCTTGCATATGAACAGCCACTTAAATGATCTTTTTTTGTTTCAGGTAAAAGTGCCTTAACAACCACTATGGTTGTAATTTTTACTATAGTTATGACCGTTTCTACAGCTGCAGTTTGGTACCTATGCAAGAGAAGTATTTCTGCTGCTTCTGGACCTTCATGTACAGCACACCATTCAACAGCTCAAGTACCATACAGTGATGAAACTGTTCTTGTAGATGCAGAAGAAAATGAATATTCTGCTTAAATTTAAAATCACTGTAAATTTTCATATTTAAATACCAAAAAGTGACAACCTGTCATCTGTTTCAGATTTGTTTCAGACATACAACTACTTAAATATGTGCATAACTTTGCTCATGTCGGTAATGTGCTGGCTGTTGTTAGGAAATGGATAGAAAAGATGGTTTAAGACAAACATCAGAGTATCTCATATGGGGCTGTCAAGCATTCATATTCATAAAGTATATTGACTGTACATTGCAGTATTTCACTGTCTGATTTAGTGATGTGACATTCTGAAAGAAGTAAGCATTTAATTATATCACAGATGTTAAAACTTCAAATTCTGCAGTTTTCTATAAAGAAGCTGTTTTTTTAAAAAAAATTGTCTTTGTTCATGATCTCCTTTTTCATTCCTGTGAATATTCTAGTAAACCACATTTGGAAAAAATGGTTAATTTGGAATTAATGGTGCTGAAAACTTTGAGGGTATTTGCACTGGTCCCAATTCAAAGAGTTACTTATTACACAGAAACAAGTTATATTAACTTGTGTCCAGCTACAAAACAGTCTGAATTTGAAACTATTTAGCCTTACAGGGCTTGTTAAAGATGAGCTATAATTCAAATATTGTAGTAAATAATTTTAAGCAACACACACATTGTAGTTGTTTGATGGTAACTTATAAAAAGAATTTGGGGAAAAAAAATCACATTTTTATTTGATTGCAGTTAGCATTCTGAGTCCAACTTTTCAAAACGGTCTCTTATTTAGACTCTAACTACATGATTGAAGTGTAATTCATGGCCCCAACCCTCCAATTTGATACGTGTAGTCAGATCCTTAAATCCATATTAAGTTGGACAGCAAAGCGGGTCTATTTGTGCTGATCATGTTTCAGTGCTGTTGGCTGCTGGATAGCCATCTGAATGCCTTCACTTGTGCTTATCTTCAGTGACTACAAAATTAGTAACTAGGTTGCACTGTATAGAAACCACTGAAAATATGCAAGTCTTTGCCCACTTTAGTGTGTGGTTATCCTTTTCTACACAGGGTTGTTCATGGGACTCTTAGGGATAGAATTAACTATTTGTTAGAGTTCTATTGGCTAACTTCCACCCATTTTAATGTCTATAAACAAATAGCTGCACTATGCGTGTCTCAGGGTACTAAGATGTGCCTTCTCCTTTAAGGGCAAAAGGAGCTTAGCAAAGAAGCGGGGCAGGCTACACAGAGCCCCACAGCTGCAGGGTGCCTGAGTAACAGGTTAACAAGGTAATTAGCCAGAACCTGCAGGCAGTCAAGGAGTCAGAGCCCAGGGAACATAAGCTCAGGGCTGGGGCTGGCAGGGTTAATTTTTTCCCTGGCCACATCCAAGGGAAGGAGCTCCTGCACAAGAGAGCTACCGGAGACATTGTACTGCCTGCTTTGCAAGCTCCAAACATAGTAGGACTCTAGGAGCTCACAGGGTACCCAAGGCTAATCCTAAGGGTAGAAGTTTGCCCCCTTAAAGGGGCAGAGTACTGCCTTTATGGTTGTGGTTGTTATAGCCCAGGGGCTTATGTTTGTATTATTATTTGTACCGGAGGTTTTGGGATGAAGTTATAAGGGGAGGAGGTAACCTCATTAGTGCCCAGAGAGGGGCACCTGATTGTGTGGAGCCCAATGTCAGAGGGCTGGAGAGCTCAGCGCCTGGGGGTGCAGCAGATGAGGGCCAGGGTTCTGGTGACATGAGACTGATGAAAGCTAGTGCCTCAAAGCCAGGCCTGACATAGTGGGTCTAGGCAAAAGGCCTAGGTGTATAAGGGGCAGAGGCCTTGACAGAGGGTATAACAACTATGTAACACCCACAAGGCATGGGGTGTGGTAAAGGGGAGGTTGGATCCACACAATTGACCCATAAGGCCTGAGGTGCCCTGCGCAGCACAGTATTAAAGACAGGCCCAGCAAAAGGCCTCAAAGACCAAGGAGCTTGAGTAGGGTTCAGCAGACCAGGACCAAGCAAAGGCCCATGGGCAGCCTCCTGGTTTATTTTACCAACAAGACGTGGTAGGTGAGACAAGAGGGTGCCCTCAGGTTGGAACTAACACAGTCATGGAGCCACCAGAGACACCACGGCCACCCCTAGGGCCCCTGCTCTGTGACACTGTGGTTATTGTATTATATTGCCACCATTTTCTTTGCATGCTTTAAAGTCATTGCATTTGACACACAAACTGCAATGGTTTCTCCAAAGGTATAAAGGTCTGTAAAGAATTTAAAAAAAAAAGTGGAGCAACAGGCTGCATTTATGTAGGGCCAGGTATGGGGATATTTAAAACATTTCATCTAACATTTTAAGTTGGTTTTAAAAAGACTAGTGTGTTTTGAGAGAGACTGACATGTGAGGTTCAGCAGATAACATGAATCCCATGAGCATAATGAGAATAGAAAGGGAATCAGAGTGGAAAAAGTGACGCAACAGCATGATGGCAGGCAGGGAACAGCATTCCAGGGTAATGGCACAGGAAGTGTTGTAGGAAAGAGGCAGTAGTGTTTGTGCAGTCTAAATTTGTACCTTGATTTTTTTTAAACCTTAAATCAGGACTTCTGAAGAGAGGGACCATATCTTTGTGAAGCAAAGGAGCTGGAGCTAGAAAACCATTGGAGCAGGATTTGCCACACACCAAACAAAGGTCAGTAAAGAAGAGCATATTTGTATGGACATACTCTAGGGGTTCTTTAGACTACAGCTGACTTAAATATCATTGGCTTTTAACAAATACTAGAAACCTGTTGAAATCCCTATGCCTAGATAAAAGTTTTCTCAAGAAAGTTGCATTAGTAGGAAGCTCAGTAAGTGGCTGTGGATTGGTTATCTCCAAGTCTTTTGCCATTCCTCGTCTTCCATGGGCTTTCCTTCTAGCCATTAACTTCCTTAAGTGAGCTCATATAATCTTAACTCTCATAGCTGTCTCCTCAAAAAAAAAAAAAAAAAAAAAAACAAAGG